GGTAATAAAGCAGGGAATACTTCCCTGACCCTTGTTGTTTTGCCTGCAGGTTTCTACATACTGAGTAAAAGAAATTGTGATTAATGTGGCATTCCGTGTCAAGGGTAGACTGTAGATTACCATTAAGTGCATCATTATGGTATCTTTGAAAAATTTACTGGATTTCACCTGTCAGATAATAGCTTTTCTTCTGCCAACACAACAGAGGAATAACAAACTAATACATGGGATGAGCAAATATATATCAAAAGAAGTGCTACTCTTGACAGAGAAACAGCTTTTGCTTTTCATAGAGTTTTGAAGGAATTTAAACAAAACTTCCTCACACATTTTCTTTCCAGCCCTGAAATTTGCAGTCATGCACATAATGATGCTGTTGCTGTGGAGCAGGAGTGTTTGGCCAAAGGGTCTGCAGGAATGTTGCAGAACTGTGCTTGGATGCTTCTTTACTGAGCATTGGTTGGTGCAGTGGGTCACTTATAAAATGTAATAGATTGCTTCCTTCTGCCTGCTGATTTGATCTCTGGAGTTCTCCTGGGCTCTGAGTTGCACAACCAGCGCAGGATCTGAGGCTTATTTTTTTTTGTTGGTGATGATTTATACATTTCAACTCTTTCAGTAGAAGACACTAATGAAAAATACTACTGTGGGGGCTTTCTTAGCTTTATCTGATTTGCATACTTTTAGTGTTTTTTATAAGGAAAACATTTAAACATTTTACAAAAATCATTTGCTGGTGTGGTTGAGACTATTAAATTATGCAGGGATAAACAACAATTTATTACATATTTAATTGTTTGGCTTTTTGTACTCTGTTCTCATTTTGAAAAACTTTCAGCTGTGTCTACAAATCCAAAACCATGTCGACATAACTATTATCCAGTGAAGACCTGAAGGTACTCAGTTGTCATGTTACCATCTTGTTTTAAATAGAATAAAAGCTGAATAGAAAGCCCAGATGTACAGGAATGTATGTGGTTTTGACGTAGGTAGTTTGGAGGAAGCCTTTGTTCTATTGGTCATATGAAGTAGTGGTCACATGGAGTGAATCATATTCATTTAGGGATTTTGCCTAAACAAATCTCCTTGGTCAGTGCCATGCTTTTGGGGAATGGGCATTTAATATTCCTTGTTTTGAGGGCTCACTTTTCCAGTGAAATCAGTAGTTCCTCTTTCCTCTGTGTTGTAAAATTTAGTGTGTGGGTCATACATACCTGAAGTTGGCAGACCAATCACTCTAGATACCAAAGTATATGAACAGTGACAAAAATGAAACTCCAAAAGTCTTCACATCTTCCTGCTGTGGTGTGTCTTGGAGTAATAAAGAGCAGAACATATTGGGTTTCTAGGGAGGTTTGTTTGAACACATGCTCAGGCCATGCCTCGTTCATTTTTTCAGTGGTACATATATGCCACTTGACTAGGGACTAGGAGCTGCCCTGGCATCCACATCAAATCATGTGAAGAGCTTGCAGATAATGTTAGCCTTTGTTGTTAACAAGGTCTAAAACTTGTGAAACCCTTCATCGTGTTATAGTCCCTTGAAGCATTCAGGTCTTGAGTCCTATGTAATTTAAAGACTTAAAAATTAATGATGAAAATAGAAGCAGCTGTCTGGTGAGTAACCCAAAGAACATCTATGCCTTAACACATTGAACTTTAATGTAAGCGTCATCCTGAGTGTTGAAATCTTGCAACTTAATAGCATGTTAAATAAATAACTGTTAAATAAGTTGAATGACAGTTTTACAAGTGCTGCTTGTTGTCACAACATTCAACAGTGACAATTCCAGTATAATGTCAGAATATATGTTCTGTTTTTAGTAGGTTGACCAAAGCATAGCAGGGGTAGGTGATAGTACCCACAGCTCTCAGCGACTCCTGGGCACAGGGCATGTTTGCCTTCATGAAAGTCACTGGTCAACTTTCAGAACTCCTCAGATCTATTCAGGTTGCTGTGACTAGTGTCTCTAGTTGCCCAGCTCTCTTTTTGCCATGTGCTTAACCAATAAAAATCACTGGACTTTGAATTAGATGTCACTTAAACCAGATGAATCTGTATTTCTCTCTCTAGTTACATGTAATTTTTTCTTGTAAGCTGACTGATTGTTATCACAGGAAACTTCTATTGTTAATTTTGAGAAGGGTTTCCATAAATAAAGGGGTCATTAACCTTTAGACCTTACTTAATGGTGTATACCATGGCGTTCACAGGTGTGACAGTACCTGGTGCTTATGATAGGCACAATCTTCAGAATCACTGCTTTTATAATAATCCTGAAAATTGTAACTCGAATATAATTCTGTGACACCTGCCTTATTTCAGCTACTTGAAATTGCATATAGATAGGATCCTGGCATTTGAAAAGTAAAAAAAAATATTAACTGGAGTTGAGCATTTGAATCTCATTAATTTTCTTCATTTTACCTGTGTATTTCTACTTCATTGATTTGAAGGCACAAATATGACATACTTTTTTATGAACATGTATGTCATTGTAATAAAATAGGTAAAATCTGTTTTATCTGCAGTTGTGTTGCAAAGAAGTTGAACTACATCCTTAAGCAGTTCTGCAGTCAAGTGTACATTTCAAAATCCTGGATTAGAAATCTAGTAGTAAACTAAGAAATAATTGATAAGTGCTTGAAAAATAGAAATTTTACGTTTCTATATTGTCAGCAAAAGGAAAAAGATTAAATAAAGTGAATAAAATTATCCACTGTCTTACACCATCTTTTAAATGTGTGTGCCATTAAAAAATGCAGGAATGTACAGGACATTGTAACAGCCTTCTTGGTTTGTCCTTTTTCCTCCAAGGTTTAGCAAATTCCCCCAGTGGTTAGTACAGCACTCCAAGCAACTAATCCTGTATAAACTATAATGTCAAAGGAATAATGTGTGCCTGGGAATGCAGGTCAAATCTGCTTTAGATCACAACAGTTTGAGTTCAGTTTCTAGCTGAAATATCACGAAACTACCATATAATTTAGTACAAGTCTTGCATTCCTATGCTTCAGCTGCTGGTTGCCTTTAATAAAAAGAGGCCCGGGATTGATTTTCCTGCGAATGTATTTTTCTTTGTCTAAAGCCAAAGTGGGGTCAGCTGGGACATAGAAAGATTTCTTAAAATAGTTCTGTAGTCGGTATAAATAACACTTTCAAATTCTGCTTTTAAAATACTGTAGAAAGTACGGTATGACAAGTTACTGATGCTGTATCCCATCCTCTGTCCTCTCTCTGCCTGGCTGAACACAGTGACTGAAGGGGAAGGGGACGATGGTGACAAGTTCCTGTCTGGTGCAGCAGGCACATCTCCATTACTCCCCATCTCCCCAGGTTTCCTCACACAATAGGTACGAGGCTTTGTAAGTGGAACTGGACAGTAACGAGGACAGTGGTTCATCCAGCTTGGAGGTGTCACCAAGGTTAAATTGGCCTATGTCCTGCTTCAAAACCTCTTCCATAAAGAAAAAAGGACAAGTCATTGTCATAGGTGACTGCCTTCTGAAGGGAACAGAAGGCCCAGCATGCAGACCAGACCCATTTCTTGGAGATGTTGTCTGCCTCCCTGGGGCCTGGTTAAAGATGTGAAGACAAAGCTTCCCACCCTTGGCCCTCAGATTATTATCCATTATTGATTTTTTAGGCAGGCAGCGATGAAGCTGGGACAAGTCCAAGGGTGATCCGTAGAGACTTCAGGGCCTTGGGATGACAGGTTAAGGGATCAGGTAGCATGCCCTGCTTTCCATGGGATAGCTGTTGAGCCCTGTGGTGCTGCACACAAGTAGCATACATCAGTTGAGTTTCATCTGAGAGTCAAGACAATTATTTTAAAATATTTTTTACAAAAATATTAATCTAATTTGCACAATGCAGAGGATTCAAGGCCAGGCTGGATGTGGTTCTGGGCGTTTTAAAGATGTTCCTGCTCAGTGCAGGGGAGTTGGAATAGGTGACCTTTGAAGTTCCCTTCCAACCCAGCCCATTCTATGATATGTACAGGAAACAGACATACCCAACAAAGCACAGCAATTTATGCTTCATTATCTGCAAATGCAAAATCCAGAATCTCTCTTACTTAACTTGCTTGATACTTCTGTTAGATAATGTAGTTGTGTGTCTTTGAGGGGTTTTCCTATGTGATTTCTTGCAATATGTTTTTACTGCTAGAAAAATATATACGTTTAATCTTAACATTGAAATTTAATTGAAAATAGGTGTATTAATTCACTTTCGGTTAGCATGGGTGGGATTTTAATTAATATGCTATTTTAAGGCTACAGTGTATTCTATTATCATAACATAAAATAATTACCATCTTTCATATATGTCTGTTTCATTTTAAAGTGTAAAAAGCAGTATTATGCACCACTGTACACATCTTAGTGAAGGGGCTATGTGCTTAGACTCTTGTTCTGACCAAGTTTAGCTATATTGAACTGTAAATCAAAAATCCCATGTGTTGTCAAACTGTAAAGTTACCATCACAGCAGCTGACGTTTTTTAAATTGTTTAGTTGATTTAGTTAGAGAAAACAATTTACCAGGTGAAACTTATGCTGACATAAGAAATCTGACGGGGCTGAAGGGGCAATTCCTGCCTAGTGGGGCTTTGAGCAACCTGGCCTGGTGAAGGTGTCCCTGCCTGTGTTTGGGGGTTGAAACTGAACGATCTTTAAGGACCCTTCCAACCCAAACCATTCTATGATTCTGTGAGTGCCCTCTGGTGGGGTCACCATCCTCCTGGAGTGATAATCTGTTCACTTACTCCCTGTTTAGCAGTTCCCTTTTTTACCCATAAAACTTACTGTTTCATAACCTTGTACTTGTTTGCTTTGTCTTGTCAAAACTTTAACCAGGGCACTCCACACAGCCTGCCTATGTGTCTGAGGTGCCACGTGCCTGGAAACCCAACTTCATTCAATTAAAAATTCAGTCTCCTATGCTGGGATGTGGTGCTGTAGGACGTTGCTGACATTAAGTTTCTCATGGCCTGACAGGTTCTTCGCTCTGTGCTGCTGTTTCCAACGATAGAGCGTATGGCTCAGTCCCCTCAAGGAAAGCTCATGACCCCCTTGCTGTGCAAACTTCGCTACATTCTGTACATGCCTGTCTACCTGCTGTCCTTTCTACCAGAGGGAGCCAAAGCCTCCCTGGTGCGGTTTGCTCTGCGAGGAATGAAGACCTGTGATGAATCTTCCATAATAACCTCCTTAAATCTCTTCAGTGTGGACTGCATTGGTGAGCACTCTTTTTTTTTTTTTTTTTTTGTTACACCAGCTTTTGTATTGTCGTTGTTTAGTAAATGTTGATGTAGTTTTGTGGGCAAAAGCTGAATACTAAAGCATGGATAAGTTCTGAAGGAAGACAGGTCTAGTCTTTTCTCAAATTAAGACCATAGGCACAGGAAGATCTCAAATCAGTCAATTAAAAAAAATCTTAAGGGGAAACTAACAAAATATTTCCCCAAAGAGTATCTTTTTTGTAAGAAAACTGACCTGTACTACTAGTAGTATCTTAAGTGATTAAAACACTGTTTTACAATGTAGTTTTGTGTTACTGATGCCTGCTTGCTTTTTGCATTTCATTCATACTGGATGGTGAAAATATATCAGTAATCAGTTTCACAAAGGGTTCTTTGCGTCTTTTTTTTTTAAGCTATGATTTAACGAGCAGTATAGATTCTGTCATCTGAATATTGGTAAACTCAGAAAAGGACCTTCAGCCTACAAAGGCACATAGAAGTTACTTTATGCACAGAAGAATTTCAGCACGTTTTGGGGCATATGCAGAAAGAAGATTAACATTCCTGCAGTGCATATTGCACCCATATTTTGCACATTCTAGCAAGAGTAACAACTTTAAGAAAAGGAATAATTTCAGATAAATTATGTTAAGTTTAGAATGAAAACCAGAATGTGAATTGTGCTATACTCCAGGTATTTTGGTAAGTTAGCAGTTGAAAACAATTTGGAATAGAACTGACATGCTAACACAGTAATAATAGCAAGAAGGAAGTTTTGATTGTGTTAATAGTAGTAAAAACACATTCCTACATTTCCAGTTGTGCTCTGTCTTCTATCAGTTAAACTTTACCTACTAATTGTCCAAACAGATGTGCCAGAGTAACTGTGGTTGCAGCGAGGTCCTTTACCTTCTGTGGACATCTGTGGGTGTGTTGGTCTGTACTGGAGGCTTGCTGTAGGACTGTACAGAGACTGAAAGCAGGAAGGGCAGTGAGGGTTCTTACTGCCAAACCTAGACAGCTCCATTTCTATTTCCATTGGAGTACCCTGTGCCTGACAAAATCAGGCTCCTGGTTGATAATACAAATTTCTCATAGGAATCCTGTGGTTTACTGCTTGAATTCCTATTAATTTATGGCAATTTTTTGACTGAGGAGAAAGCCAGCGTGCAGTCATACATACACTAGTCTTTCAGGCTTCTTCCTTTGATAATTTGGTCTTGGAGAAAGGTATGTGAAGGTCTGTAGGGTCACATCTCCACAAGCCAGGAATCCTTCTCTGGTCCCCACAGATAATCTTGTACCTCTCAAAACAGGTTATCCACTTCCAGGGTTGTATTGGAAATGGTCCTTGGCCTACATTAACCTCCAAAAAAGTGTGGCCAGCCATTGTTTGTGAGTGCTGCTTGGCCCAGACCACAGCAGTGTCAGGAATAATTTTAACAGAATGGATTTTGTGTGCTGCTGTTGGAGCCTGACTCTCCAAGCTCTTTAGTCCCGAGGTGAATGAGACTGGTTGATGTGTGTGTGTAAGCCTGTTGTAATTGCGTCTGTGCACCAGTGTCTGATCTGTGTCCAAGCTGTATGCTAAATGGAGGCAAGAAAGGCTCTTTACTCATGGTATGTGATTTCTGCCTATTTGTTGACCGAATTCATTACACCAGAATGAAAACCCCTGTGAGCCAGTGTCTTGTAAAACTTGCATAAATAGGCTTTATTGATGCAACTCGTTCCTTTGGGCTTGTGATACCATCTCTCTCAAGCAGAATTCCTCTTCAATTTCATCTTTGGAAACTGATGATGTTCTACAGCCCAGTGACTCAAGACCACATGTGTGGATTAATAATCTTAGTGCTTTCTGGATATTGCCTGTTAACCTTCTGTTGTATTGTTTGCAGACAATAGAAAATGTTACCATTCAGCAAAAATCCACTAGACCTAACACAACAACTGAGTCTGTCCTATGGGAATGCTCATCTGTGAGTTACTGAAGCCTCTGAATTTGTTGTGAATGTTTTTCTGATCAATTCCTTGTCCCTAAATAAACTGCTAGATAAGGTTCAGAAACGTTCAGCAAATGAAGTTGTTTCTTCTCTCCAGGAAGGTTGCCTGTCAACTCATAAAAAGTACACATATTGCCTTTGGCACGTACATCTGTTGCATTACTGTAATTGTAATAAAAGCTATGATTAAGGGCAAAAAAGATGGTAAAAATTTCCTTAAAACTAATACGTCCGTTAAAACAAACCAACCTGCCAGGGATTTGTTACCACATCCAAAGCTTAGTCACAACAATGTTTTCTCTCCTCTGAAAGGAAATGAGATTTGAAAACTTAATTATAGCGGAACCAAGTGCCACTCCTGTTGACATCAAGAGTGAAAAGCTCCATTCAGTGGAGGCAGAATCAGGCCCATGGTTGAAGGAGTCAGTGAAGGAAGAATTATATTAACTACCTGTCTCACTGTTTCAAATGATGTTTGTTCCTGCTTCTTATGCAAACTCATCTTTCTGTTGTCCTGACTTCATAGTTGATGATACATAGAAATCCCAGTCACACAGCATCGCAGTGACATGGTGCAGGATAACATAATATAATGTCTTGCCCCAAAGGGGAAATAGGAAAAGGAGAGACTGCAGGGACTGTAAAGGAATAGCAGGGACTGTAAGGAAGGATAGGAAGACAGTGTATAAGTAATAAAGGACCTACAACAAGCAAGCAAAGGGGTCTGAGAGTAGTTTACCTACTAGGATTAAACTTCCAGCAAGGATATCTTAGGGCAGAAAAAGTATTACAGTGAACAAACTGGCATTTAGGTACTCGTATTCATGAACCTAAGAGATGAATAGTCAGAAAAATTGGACATTAGTGACCTTGAGTTATCTGAAACATTGTCACTCTATTTATTCAGGCTAGCAAAACAAGGATACCCCTATCTAGCGCAGAGATGGTTGTTGTACAAATCATGTACAGTCCTGCAGTGCTGGAATATTTTGGCACTCCAGCACATTGAAATTTGTAAACATTTCTTTGGTGACAGATGCCAGTAGCAGACTTACAGTGACAGTAATCCGTTCTATCTACATGGGACAGGATTTATTGTCCAGCCGTTTGACTGGCAAACTTCCTCCATTTGTTCCTGTAAAACTTCCACAAAAGCACAGACATTACATAATGGGTAAACACCACAAGGCTTTTTCGGGAGGCAGGCTCATGGGTCAGGGGTTAATGTCTGGATGACAGTGAAGATACAGATAAGCACAATAGCGAGAAAAACCTCCAACTGGCCCAGATGAGGGGTGTCCATTGTGATCTTGAACCTGTGACTTCCTCGGAGGAATCTCTCTGTTTGTTTGACCTATGCCAGGAGCAGGGGAGCACTGCAATTGGGAAGGAGGGGACTCAGAAACCTGAAATGAGGGGTTTGGGTGAGTTTAGGCTGACACAAGAGTGAAGGCTGGAGACAGTAGGTTTCTGGTTTATTGTAAGAGTCCAAGAGATGTTGTAAGAAGACAAGGAACTAAGATTAAACTTCAGAGCTTGGATTCAAATTTTATCTTATTTCAAGCATGGAGACATTCAGATTTCATATGGAGTATTTATATTTCCCTCATTTTACAGAGAAAAAAGAGCTAAGGCAGTTCCAGGCACTCCACTTTTATGCCCACAGGACTGTATAGGAAGCGAGAGTCCCAGCTGAGGGATTGAGACTTGTCTCCCAGCAGTATTTCTCTCTGTTTGCTGCACACGATGGCAAAAGTACATCCCTGAAGTGCCACAGAGTAAAAAGCTTTCTTGTATACTTCTTTGCAGAACTGTCAAATAGGATCCGGGAGATACATTTCTATCAAAAGCCGGTGAAACAGAGGCTTCCAGTTGCTGTGAGAATGGACTATAAGCTTTTACATTGACTAAGTTATTTAAAATTTTATTTCCAGGGAGCCAACTGGAAAATTGCTTTCTAGGTTTAAATTACCCGAACTTTGGGACCTGTCATGTCTTGAGATCTGTTTCTGTTCTAATTCTTTCTTCATAATCAGAGAGATTTTAAATGTGACATTATGGGTGGTATTCATCTGACCACTGTGGACATCATGCTGTCTGAATAGTTGTCATCTAAAGCAGGACAGCTGAATCACACCCTACTGTTTCCCTTTAGTGACCACAAAGGGACCCTCTCTCTACTAGATACCAAAAAGTAGAGGAGATAAATCCCATTTTATATGGTGAAATAAGACAGCTTTGCCCCCTAAATAGTACTTTAAAAAGCTGTATAGCCACATAGCTAAAATTCAGTGTACTTTTCTTTGTTTTAAATTAAAATGGTGTTATTTTCTTGCACTGCAATTAAAATTTAACTCCTAAAAGTAACAGAAGATATTATGAGCATCTCTAAATTTAGCACAGAAGGCAGAGATCTTTCCCTTTTGTCTTATGGAACAGCCTTCCATACTGAATGGAACTAAAACTATCCATTGACACATGCAAAGCCAAGGGACAGTTGCAAATTATATTCTCATCTACATTTAAGTATTTCAAAAACACTGTACTAGCACATTTAGAAAAGATCTGAGTATTCAAGTCAAGCAACGAGCATCACATCAGCAGCAAATCCGTACATAGACCTCCATCCCAGGGCAACAGTGGGATCTACCAAACCTGCCTAACCATGAGTTTAACCTTATATGTACATGTTAGTCATGAGCAGCTTCCACAAACTACATTGTGGCTAGACAGGCTGATGTGCATGCAGTGCATTTTAAATTCGAGACAGAAACTGATATTGCAAAGGATTTCAGGCAGCACCTTGCAATCTTACACCTACATTTTTTACAGTGGGCAGGAGGATAAAAGCTTCCCCACACACACACCCCAGTGCTACTGGATAACTGTGCAGATCTTTGAACCTAGAGCAGTACATTTTCAAGCTGATTTACCAGGCTGGCTGAAATCAAAGCCCTGTTAGTAAAAAACAAGGTTTAGGTAACTTCTGGCTA